TTTGTTTATGACTACATTATTTTTGTTTCTTGCTCCCTATCTAGGATGCCATTGTTCTATTTCTACTTTCCTTAAAATTATTCATTGTATATTCACACTTAAAATAGTTGAAAAAGAAAAGCCACTTCTGGTACGCTAGGCAGGCAACAGCAATCTGCTTCTCACCATTCCCAAGCAAATACTTTGGCGGTGTGCTGCCATATTGATTAACTGACACACGGTGTGCAGATGCTAAACTGTTCATCAACGCATGCTTTGTGCAATTCAAAGGTAATTTCTCTCTCTGGATATCTGCAAAAGAACCAAGTAGTAAATACCGTTCATAAATAGTGAGCCAAATGGTAGTTACAGTTGGCAGTTCTAATTGGCTATTGGTCAATTGAGTCACCAGGGGGCACTGCATTGCATCTTTTCCCAGATTTTCCAGGTGGAGTTTTCAGGCAAAGCCTGTAAATAAGCATGAATTTAGTTTTTCTTCATTGGAGAAAAAAAATATCTGATGATTGCTCCCAGCACCGGCCATTCATCATGATATAATCTGACAGAAATATCTGAGAGTATTATTCTCTTGCTCTGAGACGGTCTGGTGGGAATAATATTATCACATCCTTTCTTGGAGTTCTAAACCGTTTGTGCCCGCTTTTGACTTGCCATAATCTTTATGGCCTCTCTTTATTACCCATTTTAACCTATACCCTTCTTCCCTGGTGGGATAATTTGATTCAATAGTTCTGCTTACCCAAAAAAGCAGGTTGCAACATAGGCCATGCCAAGGCCTCTCTGTGACACAGAAGGGAGTTGTTTTTCAAAATGTATGTGATTCCCTCCTGATGATGGCAAGTCCTTGAGAGCCTCAGTGGTCTCAAGTGGGAGTTCCCTTTTGGGACTTGATATAAATTTCTCATGCGCTATTTTTTCCCCTGTTACATATATCCTAATACTTTAGAGCCTTCTCGTGTGTTGCCCAAAGGCAAAGCTGCTTGCAGTGCAGTCTGGACTTACTGTGAGGACCTTTGCTGCTTTAAGTCCCATTCAAAGCTAACACACTTTCATATCACTGGGATACGTGATGGGCCATGTTTCCAGTTTACCCTCAGAATCCAATAAAACATTTTCTACAAAAACAGGTTGCGAGACAGATTTGGCCTGAGGGTCATAGTTTGCTAACATTCACTTTAGGTCCATCATAGTGGTACTATTTTGCACTATTTGCCCAGGGTACAATGTAATATTTATCTCTCTTGCTTTATGAGGGTGTTTCAGTCATTTACATGTCCTTTTCATGTAAAACCATCAGAGTAAGGACTATATGTTTAGGTTGAGTACCTAACCAAACATATCTATTGAAATTATATCTTCAGTGACTTGGGAAATGAATAGTGAGTGGGGTTTTGGGGGCATAGTGGACCCACATGATACCTGAATTTTTCAAACAGTGGCTTCCAGATCTGAAACCTTGGTCAAGTCCAGGGTCCATGATATTTAATTGGGTACCCTCAGCCTTCTGATTATTTATTTCTGGTTCATTCTGATGAGACAATTTTGAATAGCTTTGACTGCCCAACTCTTTGACCTAGAAACATCATGTTCTCTGCAGGTCATTTCTCCTTGCTGCTCTTCCAACTTTGCCTCGTTGTGATAATTGAAACTGCATGCCCTCTATGGTTTTAGTTTCCTACCACTGCCTTTGTTAATAGAAAGTCTAGTTTTTTTAAACAAGGAGAGTAATGAATTACAGTAGATGGGGTAGAGAGAGAAGAAGGG